GAGAGGAAACTCTTGATCGAGCCTAAAGAATTCAAGTTAGTCTTTTTTTTTGTAAGTTTATAAACAAAATAAACATATTTACCCTAAGAATCGGCAATTCGGTGAGAAGAAAGGTGAAATCGGCGATTCAGAAAGAGGGAGACAAAATAAGAGGAAAAGAAGTGAAGGGAATAAAAATATGTTAGAAGGAGGCAAATTGAGTACAGAAGGAGAGTCAAAATTAATGGGTGAAATTGGCGATCCGGCAAGGAGAAGGGTAAAATTGGCAAGAAGAAAGAGGAGACAAAACAGGAGGAAAGAAGGGAGTAAAAATATGCCAGAAAGAGGCGATGGAATTGAGAAGAAGAGGAATGGGTCAAAATTAACAGAAGAAAGAAGGTGAAATTGGCAAAATCGGTGAGAAGAAGGGTGAAATCGGTGATTTCGGAAAGAGGGGAGACAAAATAAGAGGAAAAGAAGTGAAGGGAGTAAAAATATGTTGGAAGGAGGCAAATTGAGTATAGAAGAAGAGGAATGGAATCGAAATTAATAGGTGAAATTGGCGAGAAGGGTGAAATTGGCGAGAAGGGTGAAATTGGCGATTTGGCAAGGAGAAGGATAAAATCAATGATTTAGAAAGAGGAGCGATAAAATAAGAAGGAAAGAAGTGAAGAGAGTGAAAATATGGTAGAAGGAGGTGAGTGGAGTCGAATAATAAAGATTATGAAATATAAAAAAAGGTATGCTTATAATTACCTCTTGCAGTTTTTGATATTTCAACTAATTCATCATTGCTAACTAAAATAATTCATAATCATTTTAGATGATTGAAAAGTTATTACAACAAAAATAATTATAACCTAATTTATTATTCATTATTTCATTCGTTGGTGACTCTAAATCTTTATAATAAGGTAATAAATTAGTTTTTTGTGATTTTTAGTTGATGAAAGTATGTAACTAATAATAAATAATAATAATTTTATTTTACCTATTTTTTTAATAGGAATCGGCATTATCCAGGGATTATCGGGTTGATTTGGTTCTGAAACTATTGGTGATGGTCTGCAAATGTTACCACAAAAATTAGTAATTTGGGTGGGAGAGAAATCAGTCTACATGCCAATATGAGGGAGAGGGTACGCGTGAATATATCCAGCAAATTGACCTGTTACGGGCCAAGTCCACTCAAACCATTTTGATATGCCGGATATAGTTTTAGATTTTTTTTCGGTGTTTTTTGTTTTTTTATTATTTCTATTATGTAAAAAATAAATGTATAAAAGGTGAAATTCTTTACAATCAATTTTTAAATTTATTTTTATAATAAACTATTGTCATTACAATAAATCTTGTTTATTTTATTACTATACATAATTTCATATGCTAATGATCTAAAAAGTATAATCTATTTTATATATAATTTCATATACTATTTATCTGATCTATAATAAAGAGCGTAAATCTATTTGTTTTATTTTTACTATATACAATTTTCCCGTTATTGATCTATAATTCTATTTTTATAATTTTGTAATTTATTTAATAACGCTAAACATACCCCAAATTTGTATCTTGATCTACTAATGTTTCTATATTCCGATTTGGTTCTATGTGTGATACTGATGTTCCGCTTAGATTTTGAAGAGCTGTTTCGATATTTTCTCCATCAGTAAGATCACATCCAACTCTAATATACCTTTTGATTGCATGTGCAATCTATAAATAATAAATTAATAAAAACAAATAAATAAATAAATTAATAAAAACGATAAATTAATAAATTAATAAAAAACAAATAAATTAATAAAACAAATAAATTTTTATTTACCATCGTATATTAGTTTTAATTAAATTAATAAAAAAAAATTTTATTTACCATTGCATGGTGAAAATCAACAATTGTTTTTGCTTCTCCTGGCTCAAGGAAAATCCATCCATATACTTCTACATTATACCAGTCATATCAGTGACTGATGATTGCCATTAATTCTGAATTGTGATAGTGTCCTCCATTATCTGAAATTATTTTAATCCATCGAGGTTTGGGATCTATTGTCATAAATACTGCCTCAAAACAAGATACTGTAAACCAAGTATCTTGTTTGGTATCAGAACTCCAATGGTCATAAGCTTGAACATCTAACTTTTCAGAATTATTTTTATCCTTTTGAAATATTAGAGTCGTATGAAGGGTCCATCCACACTTTTCAAAAAATTCACTTTTTGTTTCTCAAGCTGTTACAGGTAAAATTCGCATTTTATAATCAACTACAATAATAGCTTCATAATTATCTAACTCACATAAAGTAGAATTAAATTGAGCATTTAGGTAGGCCTTACGAATTTGATGTGCTAAATAACATGTCAATTGTTCTTGGTATTCTATAAGTTTGGGATGATGGATAATATCAAGTTGATTTGTAAGATCTTTAAAAATATTGAAAATCTTGTCACATTCGTGACACTGTGAAAAATGTTGATTCGTGCATTCTCCAAATGCAAATAATAGACAATCTACACGATTAGTTATACGGTATAACTTATACCGTATAACTAATCATGTAGATTGTATTAACCATTGTCTAAAGCTCCTCATAGGCCGAGCCGAGCCGAGCCTCATAAAGCTCAGGCCGAGCCCAAAAGTCTTAGGCTTGGCTCGAGCCTGAGTTTATAAGTTAGCCTCGAGTCGAGCCTCATAGTAGGCTCACGAGCCTTATATTAGGCTCATAAACTTAACAATTCACTGACTTTTTTTAATAATGCGAATTTCTTTATTATTATTTGCTAAAATTACAAAATTTTAACTATAGATGTAGATTTGC